CACATGAAGATGTGTCGTACTGTATTAACACATGATAATTCAACATGAAATAAATGTGGTAAATTCAGAAGCATGGCTTGATGCTTTCTTATCCTTGAGAGGAATGGAATAAACAGAGCGCTGACATGGCAGTAACACAACTATTACAGAAGGGAAATAACAGTTTTTTAAAAGGATGAGAAGCAGGGGGTCAGCCTGTGTTCCCAAAGCAGCAGGGCCGTGCTAAGAGCTCCGCAGGGAGCCTGGCTGCAGGGGAATGTGGCGCTGGCAGTGGCCGGGAGCAGCCTGGCCAGCCCTCCTCCTCCGCAGCCCCTCGGCTCCAGGAACCGGTGCCAGCTGCTCCCTGCTCCGGGCTTCCCTCTGCTGCTCCCCAGGCTGGGCACTCGGTGTCTCGTGGCTGCTGGCCATGCGCTCATTTGGGATGATTAGGGTCAGGGGAGCTGCCTTCCCTTGGCTGCAGCAAGATGCCTGCATTAATGTTCTCTCCTGAAGAATGAAATCACCGGGAACTGGCCCCTTTCCCAGTACTGAATTTCACCCACAAATGCACCCACTGTTAAACTGTCAGCTCCTGTCTTGCTTCCCACAAGCAAGAAATATTCCTACAATATCCACTTGCTATCTATTAGAGAGCCCGAGCTCCACACGGTTTGAACTCCATCTATTGAAATAATAAATGGCATTAAAACCAATAGTTCCATCATCACACAAGCAGTAAAAATGTTAGATTATGTGCCAAAATAACGCATAGAAAAGTCTGTATTTTACTAAGTCAGACTTCAAGAATTATAGCTAATAATGCTCATTTTTACAAGAATTACTTGACATGGATTTAAATGGAGCCAAAGACACATTGGGATATTAAAAAAAAAATCACATTTAAGTTTCAAACAATGAGAAGGGGGAATGTTTAAAATATTTTATAACATATATAGTAAAGTAAAAAAGAAACTCTACAGACCTTAACAAATGGTTTTAATTGGGTCTGGATGTTTTTCTCAAAGGTCACGAATATGCTGTTTGAATACTTGTTCATCTTCCATTATTTTGGAGGTTTAAATTTCTGACACATATCCCTCTAATACTCTTAATTTATTTAGTGTGAACTGCTGCAATTTTAGCAACACAGTTACAACTACACTCACTTAGTAATTCTTTTTGTATCATATATGTTACTAAATTAAAATGTTTTGGGCTAAAGAACAAGTTGTCTCCTTAGCAAGAAAATAATGTCTATAAAGTGCAGCGTGTCAATAAGAGATTGTAACACCTTTTTTTTTAACTAGATAAACTTACTCCTTACTACACTTTTGATAGTAAATGTGTTCCATCACATAAATTTATCTCTTTAAAAGCCATTCATTCATTAATTTGTGAAATGAACACAAGTATCTGTGGTTAAATCATGGGGTTTGAGGCTGTTGAAAGAAGTTAGAATGAGCTGCATCAATGGGATTTGAGAGAGACACTAATTCAAAGCACACCCTTTCCTAAACAGGGGTCTGAATGGAAAGTGAAAATGGAATTTTACTTTGGGATGGGACTGGAAATTTCCATGACAGCTGGAAGTGGGATTCAGGCCCAAAATCCCGTGTTTTGCAATGGATGGGGATATTTCAGAATAATCTTTGACTATTAATCTGGAAAATCTGACTTGACCTCAAAAACTTTAAAAAAAAATAATAAGAGAAAGAAAAAGAGAGAATGACTTTGGTGTTTAGAAACACCCTAAAAAAATCCTTATTATGGTCAAGGAGCCAGTAAAACTGTAGTGACAGAAGTTACTTAGCTTTTCAAAGTTGCAGTTGACCAGACTGAACCTAAGAAAATGAACTGCAGTGTGATGGATGTTGACTCTGTCAGCAAGAGTCCTCTTGCTCTATTCCTTACAAATTCTCACTGTCTTTAGTCTTAGGCAACTGGAATTATTAAAACTGAATATAGCTGCTACAATTAATTCAGGTTTACTGCAAAAGCTCTACTTTTTAAAGAAAGAAGCCCTAGTTTGAAGAGGGAGCCTGGCTAAAAATCCATTTACCATTGGATTTTTGTCATTAAACTCGTTTGTATGGTATGAGATCATGTATCACAGGTATGTTAAGTATTGACAAAGCATTCTTCATGAGCCTACCTGTCTTCTGTTTGTCAGCCCACAGGAGTCACTTCCAAAGGTTATGAAGAATTAAAAAGCACTTCTTTTTGCACTCCATACAATTCAGGTCACCTCCCCAAGGCCTGTTCAAACTCTGCTTATTACTCAACAGCAAATGAAAAAGAGAAAGGCATCGTTTTAAGGCTAAAATGAAACAGATTTGTTCCAAAACAATACTGCAAAATGTTCCTTTTTAAAACAAAAAGCAACACGATTAAGCTGAAAATGATACAAACACCTGTATTTCCTTCTCACATCAAGTGCAAGCCTTGTTCTCCATATGATTTCCAATGGTCTCGGACTCAGAACGTTGGGAGTTGTGAGTTTATCCCATCCACCTCCCCTCATCCCATAGGAACCATCCACCCAGTGATATCCAGAGCACAGCCAGGCACTCTAAATTTAGCTCCCAGAGTTCCTGAACACGCCAAACATTTCATAACAGCGCTGAGCACACGCTCTGAGGGATCAGTGGGTGCTCAGAGCTTCCTTTTCTGGGCAGGGTGGCTCCTTCTGGGGGAGCTGGGCACCCCAGTGGCCCCACAGAGAGCAGGGCCAGCAGAGCCTCCTGCCTGGCTCAGCCACACCACCCACTGCCACCGTCTGCTCCGTGTTCCAGCTTAATGGGAATGGTTTTCCACCTTTCCCTCTCACAAACAAATGCCAGCATGGCTTGGAGCCATCAGCTCTCTGTTTAATATCGGAGCAAAACAATCCCGGCTTGACCGTAGTGCCAAAAGTTGACAAAGTGTCCTGAGTGTGGAGTTCTACTCTATTTCATTTTAATTAGTGTCTTCTGCCACGAGACAAATGATGAAAAGCACATGGGGACTGCCAAGATGAATCAAGGACATCTGGTAACTTTAACATTTCTACATGAAACAGAGTAGGTATTACTCCCAGATACTCTTCTGTGCTGTTTGAAACAACTAAAAAAATAGATATAAAATTAACAAAAATTACAGGAAAAGGTTGCCTAAATGCTTTTGAATCTCTTCTTAGATAGTTTTAATTGCTGTTTTTCATAAAACATGAAGCTGATCTTGCATCTTGTTGAATTAGCTGTGACTTCCCTAAGATATTGTAATAATAGGAATTTTTATAATTCAGATCTTATTACATTAAGATTACCTGGATTATAGTTTCTTAGAAATTCCAACTGCCTCTGGATTCTGAGTGAAAAATAACTGATCATGAAGTTAAAACTGCTTTGTGATACTTGCTTTGATATACATCCTCCCGGGGCTTGTGACTCACTGATGATGCAGAACACACAAACATAAAATAAATAAAAAACAAAATCCAGCAATGACATCATCAGCTGCAACTGGGAGCTCTCTGCTCAAAAAGAACTGCAATGTTTCTTACCCTTCATTGTTTCTTACCTTGCAAACCCACATGGCATTTGCTAAATAAATGAGTGTTAAATTGAAAATAAAGAAATGGCATAAAGAAAAATATCGCTTAGCCATAACCTTCCGGGACAAGCAGTGTGATTTTTTGTCACTGTCAGCTGTGAAAGACTAACTGTGACAATCACATTTTGAACTCTCAGGGCTTTTACATATTCACAAGATCGCAATATGATCAGTCAATGCGATTGCCGAAAATATTCTAAAATTAGCTTGGCTCTGGAATCATTCACCAAACAGAAGACAGATTTACAGGAGCACCCTGACATGCAGAGAACAACAGGTTTCAGCAAGATACTTGTTACAATACATAAAAATTTGAGGGTCTTTTTTGCATATGAAGCTCGTGATTTCACCATTTTTCAAGGTATGTCTGACATTAAGGATATCGTTCCCTCCCATGTGTACAAGCTATTTTAAATGTGTGGCAATTATACCTGTTCATTAATTGTATTTATGGACCTGATAGCTCTGAAAATAGCTTTCCAGCAGCAACGAATAAAACAAGCCAAAATGCCTTTCACAAATGAAAGACATTTATTAGACAGCAAGAGAATATTCACTACAGTTTGTCTCCCACTGGCAAGTTGTCGTTTAAGTTTTAGTTGGTGAAGCATCTTCAGTTTTTCACAAATTCTCCTTTGCCAGAACATGGAATGAGTAGATATTGTGTAATAGGTAATTTATCACAGGATCGTGGAATGGTTTGGGTTGGAAAGGAGTTTAAGGATCATCTATTCCAAGCCTTGCCATGGGGAGGGAAACTTTCCACTGAACCGGAATGTTCAGAGCTCCATCCAACCTGTCCTTGGACACTTCCAGGGATGATGGGACACCCACAGCTTCTGTGGGCAGCCTCTGCCGGGACCTCACCGCCCTCACAGCGAAGAGTTCCTCGCGAACACCTGAACTAAACCTACCCTCTTCCTTTTTCATGGCCAGCAAACACTCTCCGACGTCCATCCCTCTCTCCGAGGCCGCTCCTGGCCGCGGCTCGGGCGGGACAGCGGCGTCCCCTCACGGCGGGGCGAGCCCCGGCCCCGCGCGCCCTCCGGCAGCCGCGGAGGCGCCGCCGGCGGCGGAAGCTCCAGGGAAGCCCCGAAGGAGGCAGGGATTAGGTAACGAGCGATGTGCGCTCAGGTTTCCTCCTGGTTCCTGAGAGGAACCTACGCGTCTGGCTGCCTTCGCATGACTCATCGCAGCGGCGCGGCTGCCGCCGCTCCCGCTCCCCCCTGGCAGCGCCGCGGCCCCAGCCGCCCCCTCGGGCGGCCGCCGGACCCCGCCGGGCCCCCTCAGCGCCGCGCGCGCTCCCGGCGCCCAGGCGCGCCCCCCGCACCCCCCGCGGCGTGCGCGGCCCCGCGGGCCCGGCTCGGGAGCGCGCGCGCAGGCGGCGGGCGGGAGGGAGGAGGAGGAGGAGGAGGAGGAGGAGGAGGAGGAGGCGGCGGCGGGCAGGGAGCTCTCTGCGGGCGCAGTGCTGATCCGCCGGCGGGCGGCCGGGAATGCGAAGCGATGGCCGCGGGCGGCTCGGGCAGCGGTGGCGGCGGCAGCGCGGAGGAGAAGACCTACCGCCGCTTCCTCGAGCTGTTCCTGGGCGAGTTCCGCGGGCCCTTCGGGGCAGAGCCGGAGCCCGAGCCGGAGCCCGAGCCGGAGCCTCAGCCGGAGCCGGAGCCGGCGGCCCCCGCTCCTGCTGCCGAAGCTGCGGGCGACGCTGAGGAGGAGCCCGGGGCTGAGGGAGAAGCGGGAGCGGCCGCCGAGACGGAGGAGGGAGAAGGCGGCGAGGGCGATGCCGGCGACCCTCAGCCGCCCGCCCCGCCGCCGCCGCCCCCGCCGCTGCCCTCGCTGCCCCGGCCGCTCTCGGAGTACATCACGGAGGAGGAGGTGGAGGGCGAGTGCCTGGACCTCTGCCTGCAGCAGCTCTACAAGTAGTGAGTGCCGGGCTGAGGGGAACGGGGCAGGGCGCGGGGCTGAGGGGACCCTCCAGTGTGGGGCTGAGGGGACCCTCCTGCGAGGGGCTGAGGGACTCTTCAGTGTGGGGCTGAGGGATTTCCC